GGGGGGCTCAATGAGTCGACGACCGGGATGGGGGGCTGCAGATGAGCACGGACTGGACGGTCACAGAAACCAAACACGACGTCAGCCTTGGCGGCTCTGCTGCGGAGCCTGTCACTGGTTCTTCGGCGCGCCATGGTGGGGGGTGGCCGCCTGCAGCCCCACATCCGATCTTGGACGTCTCCTCGCCCGCTCCGGGTGTGGGTGGTGGACAAGCAAGAGAAGGAACAGAAGAACAAGACGTGCTGAGAGTGCGCCGCCGCCCAAACCAGCGCCTGCCATACACGGCCCTGCCATACACGGCCCCTGCCATACACGGCCCATGGCCAATGTCCATCCAACAGTACGCAGTCTGCCTAGGTACACGTCGCCAGTCTTTTAGCAACGGCCTTGCGGCTGCTAGCAGGTTTTCGCTGTCTTGGAAGACCCTCAAAGTCGGCAGTAAGTCAGGGGCAAGGTCCCCAAAGCTGGGTCAGAGGGCACGCAGGCAAACAAGCCACGGGTGGATTCTTTCAGATCCTAGAGAGACGAGATGCAAGCGAGGCAAGGCTGACCGCCAGAACTTCGGGCGAGGTCGCAAGGCGGAAAGGATGGAGGAGAAAGCACAGACAGATGGCATCCCGCCGCGATTCCGCCCGGGTTCTTCGGTTCCCCTCGTATCACACTCTCCTTTCCTGCCGCCGTTCCGCCAACTCATCACTACGAATACCTGGAACAGTTCTCACTTCTTGAGTACTTGTACCACCCCTTCGCATTCGTCCTCGGATCAATCAAGTTCTCGAGGGTCCTGAACGCCACGCCTGCCCTTCGGCCACACGTTCTGGCCGACGCCGAATGTCGTGTTTCCGCTCACTGCATGTCTCATCGGGCTTTCTCCTCCCACGCGGTTTCAAAGGGCGGGAGGGGGTTCATTTGATCCCCTAAATGCGAGGTCCTACCCAGATGCAACCCCAAACAAATGCAAGCGACTCCGGTTATGAACCCCCAAATTTTCGGCCCCATTCCTCACATTCTCCATTTCCGAATGAACAACACTGGGATGCAGCACAACAACATCCCGTCGCTTCCAGGGATGCAGTAGTCACCATACTTGCATGCCTAATGGCTGCCCAGCGCACAACGAAAAATGAAGATAAAAAAAAGTCTTCGTTCTGCGACCCCGCGATCTCCGCACCCCCAATCATGACCATCACGAGAGCGAGTTGTTGCATATGAATTTTTTCCCCCCTAACCCGAGTCTGCAAGGCCACAACTAGGCAAGCAGGTCAAAGTCGATGCGTTTCTGTTGCCTCTCCTCTCCTCCCCTCCCCGCTCCTGCTCCGCCGGCTTCACTTCCTTCTTTCTTCGTGTCATTTTCATCCCGGGCGATGCTCCGCTCTGGTGGGGCCGCTCCTCTCCTCCGGTCGTCCTCGGTGTCGGCCTGGAGTGTTTCTGCCTCAGCGCGCATGCCACTAGCGCCGAGGACGTGGGAGCGTGGCCATCCCTGTCGAGCGATTGGTTGGTCGGAAAGGCGAGAATGAGGCCTGTCGAATAATTCATCCACCAACTTGATAACGGGGCCCGTCCTGCCTGGGTGCTGCCGCTGCCACTGCCGCTGCCGCCGCCGCCGCCGCCGCCGCCGCGGTCATGGTGTCCTGTGCTGGGTTGCCGCCTCAAAGCTTCCGAACCGGTCTGGATTCTCGGCAGTGGGACCTGGAAATTGAGGCAGTGCAAACAGGAAGGGTGGGAAGACATGGAGCCGTGGAGAGATTTGGCGAGTTTGGCACGCACAACCAACATTGAGTCGGCAGCCGCGTTCCACTTTTCCCCATCTCTGCATCTGCACCTTGACACAAGCGTCGTAATCCAAGGCGTTGCGTGATTGCGGAGGCAGGGTTCCTAACTGGTTCGCGGAAGGCTTGTGGATGGTTGGCCTGCCTGCGGGGTCTCTCAGATAATGGCTGTCGTCAGTGGAAACACTCCCTTGAGATCGCACTACCATAACTCTTGGGAATATAGGCAAGATGCTGTGCCATATAGAGCTCGCATGCTATGATGCGGGGCCCAGATAGGCGAATCCAGCGGGATAATAATAATTGCACACGTACCAGTCCTCCCTTTCCGTAGGTACTAGGAAGAGGACAGGAAGAAGTCGACTTGTGGTCCTCGAAGTAGCCACCAGGCGTGATGGGCTGCCAAAGACGATGGCCAAAAAGGACCTGGGGTTCGATGGGTCGATCGAAAGGGGGTTAACTTCATCTGCAACCCGCATCGCATCGATCCTCGCTGCTTCTGGCTCTGGCTGCCGGGTTGTGTTGGGGCTTGACCTGGGTTTCCTATCGCTACGATGGGTCGGGCGTAGCGCGAGCCGGCCGGACGGCGCCAAGAGATAACCTTTGCAGGGTGCGTGTCAGCGACATCATGAAGCGCGGCGCTACCACCAACACTACTACACGAGGCAGGCGGGGTTAGCTGAAGAACGCAGCCAGTCAGAGAGCCCAATCAGCAAGAGCCGTTAGGTGTATTGGCTGGGTACGCTGGGTTGAATGCTCACGCCAAGACGCTATGTTGATGAGATACGCTCACAGAGTCATCTTGCTCACCTCGGGCCTGTCGCTACGCTGCTAAAGTGGGGGGGGGGGGGGCATGTACAGGTAAAAGTGATGTGTAAGGTAGTCACGCAGGTTACTAACGGCGAGACCGGAAGGTCGAGTGCTGGTCATGAATCGAAGGAATACTTGGCACAGCTCTGAGAAGGAGCAATAGAGCACGTGCTGCAATGAGTGGCAGTAGAACGTCCCCCTCCTGACCCTGAAGAACCCCCCAAAATGGCCATGGCTCCATTTTTGGTGATTCGATGGGCGGGTCGTGCCTACGACCCCGCGACAAGCCATTGTAGCCATTATGTAAAGGGAGCAGGTGGTAAATCTCGGTTTGAGCGTACCTGCCCAGAGTTGATGGAAGTGAAAACGACATCAGAGACAGTCTTCCAAGATTGGTCCAACATGCACATCCTGTACCACAGGATCCGGGTCTTCGGCTTGTGTGGACGGTCTGGCAAAACAACCATTTGAGGCCCAGCAAACCAGATGACATGAAGGGGGGGGTGAATACTGATAGACGGGCAGCGACCCAAAAGTTACGCCAATCAACCCAAGCCCGTGGTCTGCAACATCATCCTCCACCCATCGATCCCATCGCGGTATTGCCGTGTCCTCTTGGCATGGACATGAAGGCGAATTCGGCTTGATACGATCTTGAACCAGCACCTCAATGACTCTCCGACACCTTGCCAGCCACCGGCCGAGCCTCAACCTGCAAGACATGCTGCTCAGGTGTCGTCATCCGGGAACATGGGTGGCAACTACATGAATTGCTGGCCTCAACCTAATGCCTCCTCACGGGTGACTCGGGCGGCCCTCAGTCTCCACGGCCGAAAGCTTCGTCATGATGCCGCATGACCGGGGCATAATACCTGGGTTGACCCAATCGTCCGTCCAATCGAGGGTCCTGGGAAGAGACCCAGCGAGCAGCCAGGCTCCCCCGCCCCCTTCACCGAATGTTCCATGGAAGCATGGAAGGTTGGGTACGTACTTGAGGAACCCGTCAGATCAACCTCTGCCATTTTCGTTCCAGACTTCTTAGCGTGTCGGCAACTCAATTCGATGGGCAATCGGTCAGATAACCTTAACGCGACCGCCTTTTGAAGCACCTGATGCGCCTCGTAAACCTTTCCGGCTGTGTGTTTTACCTCACGAGCACATACAAGGGTTTTCTTCAGTCAACGGCACACCATCCGCAGCCCATGTCGTAGTCATCGGGGGCAGAAATGCGATGGCTTTGACGGATGCACCACCCCGCGGGATGGTCGCTGCATCATGGTCTAACACGTCGCGATCTGCCCCATTAGGGACATATCACTGGCCTGCGGCGATCAAGGGAAACAGCCATTTGGGCTTCGGTGCGGGGTACAACTGGCGACACATGCTGTCCCTTATTACGGAGGGGCTGATCCATGGTGCAGCCTGAGTGAAGTCTTTTTCACGCCTCCTACGGCACAGTCACATCCAGATGAGCCGACCACAGCATATTGTACCCCCTCCTCATTACTGTCGATAACCCGTCCAGGAAGGTCGGGCCCGGCGGTTTGTCAAATGAAAGTGATTTTTTTTTGGCAAACGAAGCGATGTGAGCCATGTATCGAGCGTCTGAAACACAATCCCCACATGTCTATTTCCTGACCTACCTCATCCGCGACGACTCCAACCGCGATACATCGTTAGACATGGTTTATTGGCCAGAAACGGCACACGCGCGAGGCACGAAACATCATCGGCAAATTTCGGCTCTCGTCAAAGTTAGACGGACAAACGATATTTGAGCCTTTGTCAAAAATGGGGATCTCTCTTCACCGCCGTCACATTTCCAAGCATTGTGCCCCAGTATTCCTACCAGCGGGCTCAATGCCCAGCACGACGGCTTCAGTTTCATCCCTCGGCCAAGTCAAGCTCACCATGTATCCTTTCAGTGCTTCGAATAATGCCTTCGGAAATTCGCCATACTTTTATGGGCGCGCAGGAGCCCAGACAGCTACATCGGACACCTCATGACGGGTCTCGGCAGGTTGTCACGGTCAGCAGACGTCCGTCTGTCGTGCAAGGCATCATCTTGCACAACGGATTGAAAGCGATTCTAGACCGATGCGCTGTTGATTCGTTTCCTGACCCCGCCATGCAACCTCGCTGGGCGTTTGTCTGCCCGCAGTTCAGAGGACCTGCCTACTTTAGGCTGGCAAGGCTGGCACCTACATGTACACACGAATGGTCGCAATCAAGGATGGCTAAGCAAAATAAAGGTAATTCATTAATGTGCACGAGGACCCGAGCTGAGTTCCAGGTGTCCCCAGACTCGCGGGGTTAGGCACAGGTCTAATGACCAATAGATCAACAAGCCACAGACTGGTCTCACTGCCGAGCAGGGCCGGGTCAGGCGACGGATTACCCAATCTGGCGTAAGGCTCCCGGCTTCCGCCACTACACAACGAGAGCAAGGTGACACCCCCTCCCAAGCCAAACTGCAAATATGAACGAGAGGGGCATTGCACCCCCGGAGGAACCCTCCATGCCGATTGAGAGGACCGTGGTCCCCAAGCATCACGCAATGACGGACAGAACGTACCATATCAGCGAGGGAAGAGAAAAAAAAAAAGCGCACGGGAACCCTGCAGCTACGGTCGGACTTCAAGTAGGTCAGCAATCAAGCAAAATGCAAAGCGGAGAGGCCAACAGGGGTAAAAGTGTCGCCAAGGGCTACCGTCGGGCTCGGCGTTGTCTTGGGATTTCTTGGGGTTTCTTGTCGTGATGGTTTACTTGGCACTCGAACTTGATGCACCCCCGTCATAGACCCCTGGCGTCCCGAACCGGGAAGAGGAGACCCCCTTCCAGAACCCCCTTCACCCTCGGGATCTTCCTGACCCCCTCAGACGATGCCAAGTCCGCCAAGAATCGCCAAGATCATTCCCTCCAAAGACGCTGCCCCTCCAACTCTGGCTGGCCAACGCCCCCGGGAGATAGTCTGTAGACGCTACAGAGTTGAGGGAGGGGATGTTTTTCTGCACGCTTCTCTTGGAAATGCTACCTGTGGGTCGACCAACGACGTCACAGATTCAGACGCCATCCCTGCTTCATACTGCTGAGCTGAGGTTGTGCTACTCTAACCCACACCTGGACGCTCACCTCCAACCAGGACATCACGGCCAAGAGTCTTGGCTCGGCCACCAGGATGAATGGAAAGAGGTGGAAAAGCTTCGACAGGGTTGTGGGGGGCTTGCGATAGGCGTCATGGCGCTGCGCATGGGAGGGGGGATGAGGTACGCCGTGGCACATTGTTGAAGCTTGGTATACACACATTGGCAAGCCAAGCGGCATGAGCAATACGATGCGCCCGCCTGGTCAATTGAGGGTTCGAGACGACAAACTTTAACCCTAAAGGCCATGAACAAGGAGGGCTGTCTGTGTGTGAGGAGGGTGGTGTGATGAACCACGCGACACATGGGGTGGGATGGGGGGAACATGACTACCCATCTCCTCCCCTCCGTCCAGGAAATAATCTCGAGGCCGGCATCGCAGCTTCATTCACAAGCTACCGGCCGCCTGACCTCTGGACTTCAAGAAGAGTGATCATCGTATCGTCGACTCGAGCACGCGCAACCACGGCTACAGCTTGTCGATACAAGTACACAAACGCGCCCAGCAGGAAAGGGCACAGTGCCTGTGTCGTGAGGTTCCTCCGCCGACTCATGTAGGCGGGCATCCTCACGACGGGCAAAACGCTGCATCAGGTTCCACGACGCGTATGCATAATTGCTGCTCGTCCGGTGCCGCGAAAGCCTCAGAGTCACTCGAATTTGATGGTAGCATCTGCCAATTGCTTACCTGTACAGTCTCTCCCAAAACACGAATCGATTGTAGATACCGACCTAGTCGTCAGATTCACCTCAGCACAGTAATTCAGAGAGCGAGGCCGCCATGAATGCGGTTCTCGATCCCGACCACGATCCACGACAAAACGCTGACGATAACGAGCCGACCGCCGCCGATCCATACTCCTCATCACAGGCTCCTCGACGATCACTATCAAGAACGAATCGCGTCACTGGCGCAGTCCACGAGCTGGACACCGCCCGCAGAAGAGGCGAAAATCAGGCCAGGAGCACAGATCGGCGCAGTTAAGGCGCGTTCGACTTTCCAAGGCCGATGCGCGCCTCACGGACATACCGATCGCATGCCCCGACCAACACCTGAACAACCAATCCACAGATGGACCGCACTGGCGTCGTGCTTCTCGCACTCGTCGCAGTCATCGTGACCTGTGGCCCGCTGTATGTCACTGTTCTTGATTGAATTGGCTTGTTCTGCTGCCTCTCCGTCTTGCCATGACCCTCGCACAAGTCTGTGTATGACCCTCGCACCAGACGGCGAGGAACCCCACAGTTGTCAAACTACAAGATCCCTGGCGATTGTGGGCGTAGCAGTACCGACAGGTCTCGTGACCGTTTCTTCCGCTACAACCCTGACTCTCGTCCCCCTCAAACACCTGGCATGGATTTGAAGGGAATCGCAGCAGCCGAAAGGCGCCAAGCTGACTGATGTGTCGGATGTTGTAGGAGTTGCGTGATTTTCGCGAAAATACGCCGGCATCGCAAGTCTCATCCGGGGCTCCGACAACTCGCCAATGCGCGCAACCAGCTCACGGCCGTGGGAGGCTGCAGTAACAGCCTGGGCGCCGAGAGGTTGGCGGGAAGCGGGTGGGGGACGCTGGGGGACAGGAGCACCACCACCGCCAGTGGCATCGGTGTCGGTGTCGGAGTCGGCGTCGGAGCAGACGGCGTCCTCGTCGAATCGAGAACACCTCAGGGAGCCAATTCTTCTTGGTCAGTCCCTGCGTTTCGTTCTGTCAAGCCTTCTGCTTTTTTTTTTCGCCGCGGCCATTTGCGAGGATATCGGCAGACCATGCGGCAAACGAAACAACGCCAGCGGTCTTCCCTCCGGCCGGCTGGTTTGGTCTCGCATCGTCTACTTGGCGGGTTGGTCAAGCTGACCAAATGACCTGCTCGATTGGGGTAAGTTGGAGGGGGCGACGGACCACAATTTCTCACACTTTTTGAATTCTCTCGAGGAACCAACAACAGATGGGAAACGACTCTGATATCAGGTGAATTCCCGAGGCGGCAAAAGGCGTGCCAAGGCGCTGAAGATCAGACAGGTGATGCCTTCAAGTGAGTGGCAAGTGGAGTCTACGAAAGTCCGCCCGATGTGCGATATTTGTGCCTTTCCGAAGCTTGCTAGCATCCTAACGCGATGTTCTCAAATCTAAACCTTGATTGGGCTGAAAGGATCACATTGATTTTGATATGCTTGAGCTGCTTGTTCCGCCTGGAAATGACACGTTGCTAATTGAGATCTGGCAGTCCCATTTGCCTCGGGTCGCTCTCATCCTCTGACACCAATGTTGATGGGAGGGGTTCGCCCAGTTCGCCGCATCTAACAAGATTGCCAGCCTCGGTCAAGCGGAAGACTGGATGGCGGGCAAAATTTACAGTACAATGTTCGGGGGTTGGAAGCAAGGGTGATGCAGCACCTGAGACAGTCCCGGAAGACAAATACTCAGGAAAAGCTCATGACTCAACTAGCATTGCAGCCAAGACGCACTCCGTACCTACAGCTACAGGATTGGCAACATCCCTAAGTCAAACACGAGTGCAGACGATCATGCGGGCAACAGCATCGGCTGAACACACCGTGACCTGGTCGCAAGCTGGGTCTACTGAGGGAAGTCGCCTGGGGCGAAGGTGTGAGGACGACGATATTACTGCCGCGCCTCCTTCGCCTCTTAGTCCGATACGGATGACCAGGGGTAATTACACCGAGGCCGAGGGCCGTGATTCACGGCCAGTATTGAGTGCGATGCCCGATGACACGGGGTCAGCCAAGGAGGGCGGTGCGCGACAAGGCCCGCTCCTTCAGCCCGACCATGGCCCAAGCCTCCTCACAAACGACAACAATCAAAGTCGTTGGCCTTCGTTCACATTTTGTGGTCTCAACGCAAAAATTCGCGAGAGATCGCTTGAAAGCGAAATTCTGGTCTTGCGTGGATGCCGGCATAGCTTCCACGCCCGCTGCCTCACGTCGTGGTTTCTCCAAGATGGCTTCAACTGCCCGCTGTGCCGGACACCCTTCTGGATGCAGCCTGAAGCGATGGCGCGGGCGGTGCAGCGGCCCTCGAACGCGGGCGTACCACATGGCGGGAACCTGCAGGCGTAAAGCCGCGAGCAAGCGAATTGCACAAACCCCGTGGCATCCGAGGATTTGATCCCTTGAGGAATGGACTTCAGAGCTGCGTGATCACATCAGATCCACCCGCTTTCATCGACTGTCTAATCACTGGTGGACTTATCATACCTATTGGGTTGTGTCACACGTATCCTGTCTCTGAATGTGCTTCGGAGTCCGACGAAGATTGTCCGCTGAATACAACTCTCAATTGAGAACGCAATGTACGGGCGTTGACCAGCATTCTTCAACTTGGTCTGCGTAACTGGAGGGCTCACAGTGTTTTGTACAGTATCAACGTTTCACGACAACGAATTTTGCAATGTTATGAATATTTATTTGCAAAGAAAAGTAACAAGCTCACAAGCAAGAGCAAGTCTTAAGCCAAAACCACAACAAAAGGAAAATGCGGGCTAGTCGGAAAATTATGAGCACCTAAGCTTCAGACGGTACCGATATGATACCTCGGACATCAGTCATACAAGAGATTGTGAATGTTGTTGGCCCTGCTAAACACAGAGCCCAAAGTCTTGATTCTCATAGCCAGACTACATCTCTACCAGGGCTGAATTCCCTGAAGCGAAATGATCTTACCCGCATCGCCATCCTTCTCGCCCTCTACGACTTTCCTGATGAGTGTCGCGCCGACCGAAGGATCGAGCGCCCCATGCCCCTTCTTACTGTCCGAATAACCTCCAAGACCTGTCGCGAGAAACCCAGGCGAGACGCACCAGACTTTAACCCCGTCGCTACCCAAGGTCCTGTGCCATTCGCTGCCGCTGTGTCAGTATGCGTGTCTCTAATGAGGTATCATGAGTATTTGGCGTACCGCATGAGCATATTCATCCCCGTCTTGCTGCACCGGTACGCTGGAAGGTCGAACATCAAGTTCGTCGCCTTGGGCCACCCCTTGGCCGGCGGCTGGTTGAAGGGCATGGCGAGATTCTCCGATCCCGTCAGGGTCGAGGTGCCGCTCGCGATGAAGATGATCCGGGGGTCATCAGAGAACAGGAGAAGGGGGACAAAGGTCATCGTCACGATGTGTGCACCTGTCGTGTTCACGTCCCACGTCTTATTCCAGGCTTCTCTGACGGACAGCTTTCCGAGAGAGATCTGCTGGTCCAACTGGGTGCCTGCTTCAAGTTAGTACTTAGACCTCTGGCGGGTTAGGCCCTCATCCTTCACTCACCGGCGTTGTTCACGAGGGTGTCAAGCTTGCCAAACTTGTCCTGCACCCATGCAGCCGCCTTCTCGATTGAAGCGTCATCCACAACATCGATCTGAACGGAGTGCAGCGTGCTAGACATGCTCGGAAACTCAGAGGTCAATTGTGTGATGGCTTTGGTCGCATTATCGAGACTGCGGCTGCCGATGATGATGGAGTACGGCGTCCCGGTCTGGAGGAGGTTCCTCACAAGCTCGAGCCCGAGGCCCGTGTTGGCGCCCGTGATGAGAATAATTTTCTGCTGAGTACTCATTGTTGTAGATCGACTTTGAAATGCTTTGATATGCATCACAAACACCTTTTGCTTGTGGCTTGGCTCAGCCTTTTGTACAGCATCTCAACCGCAAGCACGGCGTTAGTTCCCCGGGCTTAAGTCCGGCAGATGGGGATGTTGAGGTCGGAAATCGCAACCCGCAATCTATCTCCGCGTCTTGACCACCAGAACTCCTCTTGAAGCAGCGGACGTGTCGGATCATAGCTACATCTGGCGTTGCTAAAATTTCAAGTTGAGCGGAAAGTCCCAGCAGAATGGCCGTGTGTCTTACACCAGGCGATCCATTCTGCTCAACCTTGCCGGCAGAGTTCGTCGTTCCTGGCTTCTCGCCTGGATAGCCCTTTCATCCTGGAAGCGACGGGCGCGAACATTGAATCACAATGCATTATGAGCCTGAGGTTCGATGAGTGTGGTGTCTGATGACGATCCTGACATTCGTGTATCCGGCTGGGGTTGAGGGCCCCCGACAGCCTCAGCAAGGAACGATTTCTCCCACCATCACAACAAACTAGCAAGCACGGACACCCACGAGCGGGCAGAAAGAGATGGTTCATAGAAGCAGCATTTCCTGTTTCTTGTCCAATTCAGTCCAAGTACATCTCACCAGTCGTGGTAGACGTGCAGTTTCGTTCTCCATCGACCTCAACAATTAGTGGGGCAGCCAGCATCCTCGCCTCGAGGGACGTGATGGGGATGCCGATGTCACAGATGGTACGATGTAAGACTTTTACATGGTATTTACACGGTTGGCCCCTGGGTGTTGGTGGGCGGGGTCTGAGTCTAAGCCTGCTTGTCTCGTGTTTGAGGCTTCCATGTTCACACTCATACATGATTGTTCGAGGTGTACTCCCACATGAGGCGTTAATACGCGCTGTTCTACCAGCCCAGCGCTGCTGCTCCGCACTAAGCTGATGAGGGATATGCTATTGCACACGCCCGCGACTCTGGAGGAGACGCATAGGCTGGACTCCAAGCTGTTCATTTCCGTGCTCGGATCCAAAGATAACTTGGCAGACATTCAAGCGTTTATGAAGAAGCAGAAACCCAAGTTTGGCGAGTCTTTTGACGGGGAGACGGTGCCTTCTTGGCCCTGGTGGACGTCGAAAGCTGATGAGGCCCCCAAGGCGAAGATGTGAGGCGCCATGTATGGCCTGAGAGGATCATGGTCCAACAAAATGGGATCCTAGTGGTAGCTCCATCCGATGAGTGATAATAATTGAAAATTTCTCGACCCTTGTTCTTTTAAGAACTCTGAGATAATTCATTGAGCGTCTCATGTCCATCCGTCTAGAGCCTGTGTGAAGTCCCCAGGCTCATACAGCCCAACAAGATCTTGGTTGTCCAGCCAGAACTCATTTCTGATGACCAAATTGTCAGTATGCATCTCACAAGCGTCAAAAGGCAGGCTGGCTTTTAAACGACGATGACTGATCACTCACTGAGCACCAAGTATATTGGGCCACATCCACGCGTCTGAGATGACGTTGGCTGACAAGGCAGAGTAGCCCTCGGGCCAGCTCTCCTGTGGTGAAGGAGAAGCCTGTTCTTGCGCGTCGAGGTCGACAACGACAGCGTCACCTTGTGGTTGGTGAGAAGGCCTCCGTGAACTTCTTGTCCCATCAATCTTTTTGTTCGCCGCCTCGAATAGTTTGTATGCGGCAGTTGCCGAGATGTACGACTTGCGCAACTCGCTCATGGCCAGCATACACAGGGATAGATTGTATTTCCCCATCTGGCTTGATAGTTGTTTGGAAGACGCTGATTCAAAAAGGTGAACATGCATCGGCGGAACGAGTGCTATGACACTGACATGAAGGGTTAGCGAGAGCAGTGTCAACCAGAAAGTTTGCCACCCTACGTGATAGTATGTGATAGGCCGATAAGCTCCTCAGCCATCATTGAAGTCACGGCACTGCAGGCGTTTGACGCAGCTACCCTTGTCTTTTGGCAAGCTAATGCTCTCCATGGCTCCTCGTGCTCCAACGTGACATCTCGAGGGGCCTCGAGTATGAATGGTCGATACAATACAATGATCGCTGCCCTGAAGAAGCCGTCAGTCATCAGCTTCATCACCTTAGCCAGGGATTCAGAGCAGACGAGACTTGCTCGTCAAACCACTCACTCAAGTAGATTCGGAACTGATAGCGATGGGAGGCAGCCATACGACTTTGATGTTGAGTTGCAGGTAAGTCGTAGGAGCATGCTCTAATTTCCCGCTCGCAATGTTCAACATCAGACCTTGTCGGCTTCGTTGACTTTGCCCTGTAATGTGTAGAGAGGATAGTGCCCAAGGTGATACTCAACTTGATCAATATCTTCCAATCGGTGTTAAGTTCGCTTAGCTCCCCTGGCAGATACTTGAGACAAGAATCAGTGCTGTCCTCCGGCACGAATACTTCTGCATCAAAGCATCCAGGCACTGGTGTGTCCATGTCGTCCAGAGGGATCCGCATCGGCCGTCCCTGGCCCAACGACAACCAGACCTCACGACAGCAGATAGACCACCAAAGCCCCCGCCAGAATGGCTGAATATTACCACAGCCTTGAGAAGGCAATTTGGGTAGCCTGTGTAGCCCGATGGTGTGAGACAGACTGATTGCGATGCCGTTCCAGTGCCAGGGGCCCTGTCGGTCGTCTGAGGTAGTGTACCAGAATCTTACCAAAAATACCGACTGGATGAGAGTGATCTTATCTTGCTCGTAGTTTAGATCATAAAGAACCTTTGTAGTTGTCAGCGCTTAGAAGGGTCTGCTAGATGCCAGCTTCTGACCTTTGCTCGCTGATACACAGAACGTTTCAATGACGTGCGAGATGTGTAGAAGTCTTGTGTGAGCAGGGTATCATCAACAAACTTCACGAAAGAGTTAGAATTGGGGTACACCGATGGGGTTCCGATGGTTGACTTACACTTGCCGAAGCCACGAATATACTCCAAAGCAGCAGGATGCTGACCCGGCCGCTTTCATAGTCCAGTATGATTGACGAGGGTCAAGGATGGGAGAGAAGGGATGCACATGGTGGAAATAGCAACGTATGAGAATTTCTTGTATATGAGAGGCAGGCAGGTCGAAAGCACCTCTCGATCGAAGATAACTGACATCCTCTGGTGCAAGGAATTTCGTCGAGGGCGTGCTTACTAGGCAATGATTATTCGTCGAGGATCTTTCTGGTTCACAAATATCCATTACGAAAGCCGGACCACGTCGGTCACCTATGCAGGTCAGATTTTGGAGCGGCAAAACATGGATTGTGAGCACAAGGCGGGTTTGCCAGCATAGAACGGAATGCCGTTTCCTTTACTGCCACTGCCACCTTCTAGCGTCTCCGCATATGCCGAACTTCCGTCGGCGACATCGAAGCTTTCCGACACATATCGGGATACCGGCGTTGAAGAGCATAGCTGTGGCCCGGCGCTTGAACGCGACGCGGGAGTAGCAGGGCGCGAGTAGGCGGCTGTACTCACTACGGAGGAATGTGGCAGATCTTGAGCTTTGCGCGAATCACGAAGGGCAGCGTCGCCGCCGCTGTCTCTTGTTTGCAGCAAGTCATTGAACGGCTGAGCGGCTCTGTGAGTCGGCTTGACTCTTTGACGGACGGCGAAGCGAAAGTCGCAGGCGGCAAAGCTATAGGCACTCTACTGAAGCTGGATGTAGAAGCTGCCGATGAAGCTTCTTCGTTGCCGCTTGCATGAGCAAGAGACGGCTGCAGGTCCAGGTTCCTAGGTCCCTATCAGTCCCACGAGTATTCGTGTTCGGTCACAACAAGATCTTTCCTGTGCGACAACGTGAACGAGTCTTACCGCCGTCGCTTGCGCGTGAAATCTCGCAAGGCGTGTCATCCACAGCACAGTTGGCGCAGGGTGGGCCTGAGAGAGCCACTGTACACCTTACTTTGCGCAAGCTGCATGCGAATGCGGTGCACGCGACAGCCGCGCGTTTGGAGACGCGTGTCTTCGGAATGGCCAGCGAAGGTCTGCTATCTTGCCGCAGCATCTTGCTGAATGAGGTGCAAGCCGCTGCTGGAGGCGGGATGCACACCCTAGGTACCTATCTGCCTTAGGTACCTACCTTAGGCAAGGTAATGATGATACCTTGCTTCTGAGGTTCCATGTGATTGAGACTGGTTAGACTGGTTATGCAATCAGCATCCTTTTTGTCGCTTTCCCATTTTTTTCCCTCGTCTACCTTAGATACCTAGGTAGGTACCTAGGTAGGTACCTAGGTTGGTGTCTCATTCCTATCATCAAAGGCAATTGTCCTTCAAATCAATTCTGCTGGCTTGGCTAGCTATGCTCTGATCAACAAAGTGACAGCCAAATTGATACGGGAGTAGTCGTACACCAATACTAGGTGAGCAGTGAGATCATGTTCCCCAAGAAGTGTAGATTGGATGGTAGGCGACATCCTCAACAGGACGAAAGGCCTGACGTTGATGGGATGTCAATGGCCTCCCTTACCTTATTGGAATTGCCATGTCAGTACAGGTGCATTATGCATACCTAGGTAGGGTATGACGTTTCGGCCACCGGCGTATGTGTGTTTGTACCTAGGTACCTACCTTATGTGTACATGTACGTGAGAGAGAGAAGGAGCGTGCACCTTTGCTCTGTTGCTCTGCTGCTCCGGGCATAACGACGACGTCATTCTTTCGCCCTTGCTGTTTCCCGTTTCCCTCTCCTGCCAGGTCCAATCCTACCGGCGCACTGCCCCTGCCACCCCCTAGTTTAATCTGATTTCAGCTCAACCTCACATTCCAATGAAATCAACTTTGCCTCGTATCTGCCTCCCCCGGGCAGGCAAGGTACCCAGACCGGTAGGAGCTCCAGTGGTCTCGATCCCGATCGTACATGCCAGCTCCACCTCGTCATGATGTCCCCGTCAGGTGCAACCCTTACCCACCAGGCGCCCCCCGTGGCATCTGCTCCGTTCAACGACGACATCATCCGTCTCAAGGAATCATTCCAATTGTCTAGTGTATCCTCTTTTCCTCTCGCCTTTTTTTTACGTGCTTTTGCCACAGACAAAAAGTGGCTTACCAGCGCTTCCACACAGCTCACGACCAGTTTTACACTCCATTGATCCAATCCGTCATCCTCTTCTGAGCCTTGAGTCTCGAGTCTTGGTCTGCTCACGTCGTGATAAGTAAACCACCTACCTAGGCTTCTGAGCTACTACCATCAGCTACGCCAGAAGTCAAGACCTTTCGACTACACTGTTTGACAGTAACGCTCGTCTGAAGAGGCCAGGCCCTCCAATCGACCCAGCGATCAACTGCCCAGCCTATCGACGTGCTGTCGAAACACCTGTGCCTAGACGCGCATTCGGTCACCTGGCGTCCCCCGGTTACCAACACCCTAGCTGGCTCCTGAATCCCCCCCCCGTCCGTAATCCACAGCCTGGAGGCACACGGGGTTTGCTCCGATCGCCCAAGCCAATCAGTCGAACCACAGCCAGGTCGTACCGCCCCAGCTTGTCACCTCACCCACCACACATGCTATCAGCGATCCAGCGACACCGTCAACAGGCCCCTGGCCAGCTGTATCCGACGCCGTGCTCTGCCTCCTCCGACCTACCACTCCCCCTTCTCGTCCTTCTGCATGAGGAGCATTCGTTCCGGCAGGGCCAATCAAGTGCATAGTTTTTTGGTGTGGTCATTTGCGGCTCGATCGTTGCCAGCCGGCCAACGTCCATCCCCTTTGCAGCCCCAGTCATCGTTCTCGATTCGAGCCGCATGTGGTGCTGCCCACATTATTCCCATCACACATATACCCAGGCGTTTCTCCAGCATGGCGTCCAAACGTAGAAGATCCAGCACTTCCATTGCTTCAACAAAACCCGGTACAGAGAACAGCAGTAGGAAACCACAACGCAAGACTTCGCCGACCACACAAGAACCTCCGAGGAGATCGGGTCGTCATCGCACAGCTGACAGCAAGCCTGTCAAGGAAGAGGCCATGGAGGCAACCAACAGCGCCGCCGCGCCGCCGCTCCCATCTCTCGAGCAAGACACCCCTGCAAGACGAAGAGATGCCGCTAGACAGGTCGCAACACCACGCAAGTGTGTCTCCGATGTGATGAAGGAACTCAGTGACATGGAGGAGCGCCTGCAAAGCTCTGTCAAGCGTCAGCGCTTGGCCATTCAGGATTCGGGCCTTGTCGATGATGTCCCCCCACGCCGCCCTCTCAAACCTCAAGCGGCACGCAAAAGTCGCAATGTGGTTCGAGAGAACCTAGCCAACGGCGTTCGCATGGCCACCTCCGTCGATGAAATAGAGCACGCCCCGTCACTTGATACTGACGCCATTGCCGCCGCCAACGACATCGAGGCCGACGCCGATGACAGGGAGCAAGAGGCTGAGGAGGAGCTGGCGGAGCGCGGCGCTGCACGACCACCACCCGTGAATAGCAACCTTCTCCCTCTCCCGTGGAAGGGCCGAATTGGATATGTAGGTGGCAATCCCAATTTTTGCCATGCAAGAAAGCTTACCGTGTCTGCAGGCCTGTCTCAACACGTATCTTCGAGAAGCAATCCCGCCTGTTTTCAGTTCCCGTACTTGCAGGATCGCGTCTATCATCCAACACCGCCATCCTTTGACAGACCCATCTCAGCCCGAACATCCCACTAAGAACAGGCCGGATGAATCCAAACCTCAGGACATTAGGCTCGGCCGAGAGTATGTTGAGCGCTTGGGGTTGGCGAACGCGCAAGACATAGTCAAAATGATCCGGTGGAATGATAAATACGGCATCAAATTCATGCGACTCAGCTCCGAGATGTTCCCCTTTGCTAGTCACGCCGAGTACGGCTACAGTCTCGCGCCATTTGCTTCGGAGGCACTAGCTGAGGCCGGATCTGTTGCCGGAGAGCTTGGTCATCGCTTGACGACTCATCCAGGGCAGTTCACGCAATTGGGCTCGCCGCGGCCTGAGGTTATAAAGGCTGCTGTACGCGACCTCATATACCATGATGAGCTTCTCACGTTGTTGCACCTGCCAGAACAGCAGGATCGCGATGCCGTCATGATCCTGCACATGGGAGGTACCTACGGCGACAAAGCTGCAACGTTGGATCGTTTCCGGACGAATTATGCGACGCTGTCTCCTTCGGTGAAGAATCGTCTCGTCTTGGAAAATGATGATGTGTCTTGGACAGTTCATGATCTTCTACCCATATGCGAGGAGCTCAACATCCCACTTGTGCTC